GTACAGGATTACAGGTGTGAGCCCCCACGCATGGCTTCATCTAGTTTCTTACTAAATGTCTTGGTTGAACAGTGGGTGGCTAGGCAATGTTTGCGTCAACACAGAGTTCAACAGTGATTTTATTTTTTTAAATGTGTATTTAAAAATATCCAGAGACATCGGCCACCCAAGGAAACTTCTCTTCACCCTATAAATCTGTTTTCTAAAAAGTATGTACTTTAATAACTTATCAGAACAAAGATAAACCCCATGAATGGCAAGCTATTTACATCACTCTGAATTGATTTTCGATCCTTGTCGAACATTCATTTTTACTAGTTTGGATCGGTACAAGCATTCCATTTAGTATGCTGTTTTCCCGTAGAACATTATTTCTTTTATAATGTGCAATAACTTGATAACAGTAACTCACATTTCCAGTTGCATTTTACAGTTTACAAAGCTCCTTCTCTGCCTTATCTTGAGCTTCCTTTTGTATTGTCCTGTGTCGTTACGTTGTATTGCACGAGGCAGGGCTGCATACAGAATGAACAAGAAAAGCCCAGGTCAGATCTTGTTTTGACAGTTCCTGTTTCCTACTATGTAAAATTGGCAAGAAAAGGATTAAATGAAAGTGTGCGTGTAAAGTGCTTGTAGCACAGTGCCTGGCATGTAGTAGGAACTAAATAATGATAATTCGCCTTCTCTTTTGCTATTATAAATAACAGAAACTAGTTTTCTTTTCTTTCTTTCTTTCCTCCTATCCTTTTTTTTTTTTTTTTTTTGAGAGTGCCAAGGCTTGAGTGCAGTGGCATGATCTTGGCTTACTGCAACCTCTGCCTCCTGGGTTCAAGCAATTCTCGTGCTTCAGCCTTCTGAGTAGCTGGGACTATAGGCACACGCCACCACTCCTGGCCCATTTTTGTATTTTTCATAGAGATAGGGTTTCCCCATGTTGGTTAGGCTCGCCTTGAACTCCTGACCTTAAGTGATCTGCCCGTCTTGACCTCCCAATGTGCTGGGATTACAAATGTGAGCCACCGTGCCCAGCCCAGTCACTAGTTTTCAAACTTCTGTGTGACTCTTTATTTTTTTCCATTATGTTTCTGTGTGGCCTGCAGTTGATTTTTCCTCACTTTAAGCCAGTGACTCTATGGGAAGCTAGTCTTATTATTTTCCCTTGAAGGAAGTATTAATTTTTGAATAAACCTTAATTGATTCGTAAGGTTCCAGATCAAGAAGATAATTCTTAGGCATTCGGAAACTACGATTCCCCCAAATTCAGAAGTTATGGCTCTTTGCACTAAAACCTCAGAAACAGGAAAACTCATTTTCTTTGGATAACACATGTGAACATATAATTATGCCAGAGAAGCAGACAAACTCTTTGAAATATTCATTTGTTCATTCATTTACTCACTCATTCATTCATGTGACTATTCAATAAACATCTGCAGAGTGTTGAGTAGGGGGGAGGCACTGGTGAAAACATTGGCTGTTAGAAGAATTTTATGGAGAAGATGCATTTTGGGAGAAAAATCAAAAAGTCAAATTGATAACAACCACCTGTTTAATTTTAGTTGATTGCATCTGTTGTCACAAAGAAAAATTGAAATGAATCAGCTTAAAGGTAGGCTAAGTATATTCATTTAAGAAGAGAGTTGAATGAAACCAGAGGGTGAAACTGAATTTTATTTTACTTTTCTTCAGCCAGGAAAAGTTAGCCCAAAACACTTGAACCAGGTGACTGTTAACCTGAACCCCTTACCACCAACTGAATTTCAAGGGGTTGGGGAACCCTCTGAATTATGTGCAAAATTATGTATGTACATTTTCTAGGCTTTGTAGCTGGTAAGAAGTTTTAAAATTGGTGATTTCCTATAAAGGGGATGGTGACATTCCATAAATCTGAGAACCACTGACTTCTATTCAAAGAACCCCCTTCATTTTAAAGTAACCAAGGAAGTTACCCACAACCCACAGCTTGCTTTAGAAACCAGTTCGATGAGCACTCTAAAGTTTCTTGGGTTATGAATTAGCTTACTAATTAGTTACTAGCAATTAATATTAGTAAAATTGACTGCTTATGATTAATGACATCACGTATGATCAAGTGTTAATAATAACCAATAGTATTAGTAATGACTAATTGTGTAATTGATTAGTAACTGGAAAATCTTTAATGTGCCTTTCAGTGCTGTTTGGATGTTAATGATAATTTAAAATTTCACAAAAAACAGTGACCATACAACAAATGATGAGGAATTATTGTTTGGCCAGAAGCTTCATCCCTAAGTAGAGACCTCACTGGGTTACAGGTAGCTCTCTGTGCATATCCACGTCTGGCCCATGGTAATTACCCAGAGGGTATTCAGTCAATATTGACTGAACACAGGAGAGTGCCTCATTGTGGCGCCATTCCTCGCCTCTCCTGGGCAAGACCCTCTGGAGTTTAGATTGGAGCAGAATGCTGGAGAACTTTTCTTGCCTGAATTCCGAGACCAGAGAAGTGGGATTCAGGTGACTTAGCTGGCATGGCTGGCCTCCGCTTGGGCCTGGGGGAATAGCTTCTGTTTCCTGTGCATCTGCTGTGCCTCTGCCTTGGTTGCCACTGAGGGCCATCTAAGGGCACTGTGACGAGATGCGATGTCTGCAGGCTGCAGTGCCCAGGTGCCAGGGCATGACGTATACAGTCCAGACCTCTCTGTTACCCCCTCTTCCTTCTAGTCTTGTGTGATACAAACAAAACATAAACTAAATCAATTATCATAAGGTCACAGGTCTAGCCCATGAAAGAACAGACAAGACTCAAAAGAAATTAAACTACAGCCAGATGTAATTAAAAGAAGTTTTGGTAGAAATTGAGCATGATAACGCTGTGTGATGATTCTTTTTAGAATAGCATCTGGTACATCACCCAGGACATAGGGCTTGAAAACAAAGCTGTAAATGCCTTGTAGCTAATAGTCTGGCTTTAGATTGATTTCCTTTGTGTCACACATGCCAACATTTGGGCAAAATATGGAACAGGGCAAAAAGAAGCTTGAGACAAGGCCTTCAGCTGGGGCTCAGTAAGTCTTTCTGGAAAGATGGGAAGAGGAAGTTCTTTTGGTACCAACAGGCCCACAGCCTGTTAGTTCTTATTGCCATCTGCTGTAGCCAGGAGTAGAGATGGTTGTTCTCAGATAACTCGGACTGTCATTTCTACTAAGAATTACTGGGTCAATCAGTCAACGGCTCTCCCCAGGCCTGGCTTCAAACACCAACAGGAGAGCTTATAGGAGATCAGGGGCCTTCTTTTACCCTCCCAGAATCTTGGAACACCTGCCACGTCCCTGGCAATACCCTTGCTCGCCCACTACAGAGCCATCATTCAGGAACTTGTGCACCCATCTCAAGTTCAGGGTTCTGGTGGTGGGGCAGCCTCAGGATTGAGTCCTTGCCCATGGAGGGGGCTATGGTATGCTCTGCACAGATCACTGGGCTCTTCTTTAATTTCGCATCATTAAACTGACCCCTGAATGATAGATATGTCTTCTAAATCCCACCTTTATCATGTCATCACTCAAGAATCCACAGTGGAGCCAAATTGCCAAAAATCTAAGCTTTTCATCCAAGTGGTCAAATTCCTTCTCTCTTTCTCCTCTTGTCTTACCCAGCCTTGTTTTCTTATTCCTATTTAGTTTTTTATTATGAAATATTTTAGACAAGTATAGAAAGTATAGGAAATAGTAATGATAAATGTTGAAGCACCTAACATTCAGCTTAAGAAATAAAGTAATGACAATGACAGTTGCAGCACCCTCCCAGTGCTTTGTGAACAGACCTTGAAGAGATTGGGGAGCAGCCACAGGAGCAGTGGAGCTAAGTGCTTCAGAGCAAGGGCTGTGGAGCTGGGTGGACCCAAGGGGAATTCTAGCTCTGTGTTTCCTTGCTGGGCAAGTTTTGGGAAAATCATGTTACCCCTCAGAGCCACAAATTCCTTGTCTATAAAAAGGGATAACACTTTGGGAGGCCGAGGCAGGAGGAATGATTGAGGACAGGGCATGGTGATGCACATCTGCCACTCAGGAGGTTGAGGTGGGAGGATTTCTTGAGCCTAGGAGGTCCAGGCTGCAGTGAACGGTGATTGTGCCGCTGCACTCCAGTCTGGGCTACAGAGTGACAGCTTGTCTAAACAACAACAACAACAGAAAAGAGATGATAAGATGTGTATCTGTGTGCGTCCAAGAGTTGTTGCAAGGATTAAGTTTAGTAGTCAGTAAAGTGCTTAGTTCACTATTCACAATAGCAAAGATGTGGAACCTACTCAAATGCCCATCAACGAGAGACTGGATAAAGAAAATGTTGTACAAATACACTTGGAATACTATGCAGCCACAAAAAGGAGCCAGATCATGTCCTTTGCAGGGAGTGGGATGAAGCTGGAAGCCATTTTCCTGAGAAAAATAATGCAGGAACAAAGAAACAAGCACTGCTTGTTCTCACCTATGAGTGGGAGCTGAACAATGAGAACACATGGACACAGGGAGGGGAACGACACACACCTGGGGCCTGTTTGGCGAGGGTGGGGGGTGAGGGAGAGCATTAGGAGAAAGAGCTCATGCATGCTGGGCTGAATACCTAGGTGATGGGTTGATGGGTGCAGCAAACCACCATGGCACACGCTTACCTATGTAACAAACCTGCACGTCCTGCACATGTATCCCAGAACTTAAATAAAATAAAATAAAAAGAAACAAAGGTGCTTAGTTAGTGGTGGGCATGAGGGGAACCCTCAGCAAATGGTGGTCATGGTTACCGCTGCTGGCTGTGGGGCTATCACCATCTTGATTTGGTGCAGAGTACGAAGAGCTTATGGGAGAGCAGGGGCCTACTATGTTTTCCTCCTGGAATTCAGAGAAGGGATGCGCCTCAGGGGAGCAGTTTCCCTTACTCCAGGGGAGAACCAGCCAGGAGGGTAGGAAGTGTCCCTTGGTGTGTGCTGTGGGCCAATGACTGGGGTGCTTGTTGGATTTCAGGTGCTCGTTCTGGCTGTGAAGCAGCTATTCCCAGAATTTGAGTTCATGTGGCTTGTGGATGAAGCTAAGAAGAACCTGCCTTTGGAGCTGGATTTCCTCAAAGAAGGGAGGAATGCTGAGAAGGTGTCCCAGATGCTCAAGCATTTTGACTTCTTGAAGGTAGGCAGGACGAGGCAATGGGGGGCATGGTGGTTTGGTGGAAGAGCATGGTGGTATGTGGGTCTCTGCCCGGAGTATCCCTTTCAGGACATAAATGGGACATCTTCTTCCTGAGTCCTCTTACTGAGGGTGAACGATTTGTCACTGGTGATGTGCATTAAATCCCTTGAAGGCAATTTGCAAAGAAATATCAAGTGTGATTGTTGACCAGTTAGTCAGTTAAACAGATGTTTATTGAATAATCGACAACTACATGACACTGAGCCCTAGCCAAGAACTTATATGCTGTGGTCTCTTCCTCGGTGAGGCATGGGATGATGATGGCGGCGATGCTAACACTACTGTACGCCGAGACTGTTTTAAACACGTGTATGACATCAGCTCATACAGTTGGCTCTGCTGTAACAGAACCATAGAATCTGTGGTTTCTGTTGTGTGATTTTGCATAACTGCACTATTTCTGTGTTCCTAGAAACCACAGAGCTTATGAGGAAATAGGGTTAGGGGCACAACACTCAAAAAAATTTGTTAGTCACAGGGTGCAGTGGCTCATGCCTGTAATCCTAGCAGTTTAGGAGGTCGAGGCAGATGGATCGCCTGAAGTCAGGAGTTCAGACCAGCCTGGCCAACATGGTGAAACCCCGTCTCTACTAAAAATGTAAAAACGAGCAGAGTGTGGTGGCACACACCTGTAATCCCAGCTGCTGCTCGGGAGGCTGAGGCAAGAGAATCACTTGAACCTGGTAGGTGGAGGTTGCAGTGAGCTGAGATAGCACCACTGTACCCCAGCCTGGGCAACAAGAGTGAAACTCCCTCTCAAAAAAAAAAAAAAAAAAATCATCTGTAACATAGAAAATAAGATAAGGATGAATAAAAATGAATAGCATAGTTTTACACACATTAAATGGCTAAGAAATACATAAGGAAGCAATACATATGGCACTTTATCTTGAGCCTGCTATGGAAGTGGGCATCAGAAGGGTTGCTGCTTGTGAATTTTGTGGGATGGTGGAAGGAGTCCTTTGAAATGGGACAGAGGCTGGGCATGGTGGCTGATGTCAGTAATCCCAGTACTTTGGGAGGCAGAGGTGGGCAGACCACTTGAGGTCAGGGGTTCGAGACCAGCCTAGCCAACATGATGAAACCCTATCTGTACTAAAAATACAAAAATTAGCCAAGCATGGTGGTGTACTCCTGTAATCTCAGCTACTTGGGATGCTGAGACAGGAGAATCACTTGAACCCAGGAGGCAGAGGTTGCAGTGAGCCGAGATCATGCCATTGCTTTCCAGCCTGGATGACACAGTGAGACTCTGTCTCAAGGAAAAACAAAAAAGAAATGGGACGGAAAGTTGTAAGGCCAGATGGGGTGACTCACCGACTCGCAGTGATGTCGAGGTGTGTTTGTTTTGTGTATTCCAATGTGGCACGGCTCTGCTGGATGCAGCTTTCTGCATTCACGGTGTTTCTTGCAGATGATGGTACGCATAAGCAAATCCAAAATGTGCATTATGATCAAACTGTTTCCTAACATATCAATTGCATTGGAACAAATTTGTGTTTTCAAAACAAGTATTATAGCAGAACTGTTCTATGTAATAAGAGACACTTAATGTGGGAAACAACATCAGATAATATGAAGTCGCAGCTGTCAGTGCCCATGAGAAGTACAGCTTGTAGGTGCTCTGAGGATTCAGAAGTAGGGTCTCCTATGCCCCATCCGGTCAGGGCAGCTCTGCTGAGAAGTTGGCACTGAAGCTGGTGTTTTTTGTTTTTTTTTTTGTCATCCAGGCTGGAGTGCAGTGGTGTGATCTCAGCTCACTGCAGTCTCCGCCTCCCGGGGTGATTCTCCTGCCTCAGTCTCCCAAGTAGCTGGGATTATAGGCACATGCCACCATGCCTGACTAATATTTGTGTGTGTGTGTAGTTTTTTTTTTTTTAGTAGAAATGGGGTTTACCATATTATCAAGCTAGTCTTGAACTCAGACCTCAAATGATTTGCCTGCCTTGGCCTCCCAGAGTGCTGAGATTACAGGTGTGAGCCACTGTGTCCAACCCTGGAGCTGGTCTTTTTTTTTTTTTTTTTTTTTTTTTTTTAATAACTTACAATTATTATTATTATTTTTGAGACAGAGTCTCACCCTGCCTCCCAGCCTGGAGTGCAGTGGGGCCATCTCGGCTCACTGCAACCTCCGCCTCCTGGGTTCAAGCGATTCTCCTGCCCTAGTCTCCTGAGTAGCTGGGACTACAGGTACATACCACCATGCCTGGCTAATTTTTGTATTTTTACTAGAGACAGGGTTTTGCCATGTTGGCCAGGCTGGTCTCGAACTCCTGACCTCTGGTGATCCACCTGCCTCGGCCTCCCAAAGTGCTGGGATTACAGGCGTGAGCCACCACCCTGGGCTGGAGCTGGTCTTTAAGGACTGCCCTGATGTTCCCTCAGGGCACACAGGAACTGGGGAGAGAGATGTGTGTCACACCACTGTTTTTCCAACACACTTGTCTTCCTGAGCCGTATGCCTGTTTACACAGGGTTACCTAACCCTCAATCCCAGCAGTGCAGGGCTTGGAGAGCTCTTCGGGTTGTCTATACTGAGAGCTTGGCTTCCGACTCCAGGAGGAATCACCCTTCCCTCTTCTTCAGCAGGCCTGGGGAATGCAGGAGAGGGTTCGCCAAGCCCTCAGGAGCTCCATGTGCTGGTTCCAGAGCCAACATTCAGGCTGTGCTGTTCTTGGGGAGGATGGCTCAGAACATTCGATCAGGGCAAGAGGATGCTCTTGACTAAGGTGTTCTTGTGGCTTTTGAAGACATCATGAGAAATGGAAGTGTTTATACTTTTGCTCTCCTGACTGACTAACAGGGAAGGAGTGACTGAAGAAGTGTCTGTTCTGACCGTTTGAGAATTCACAGGAGGAAGAACCACAGCTGTGGTGATCCGTGCAGTGTCTTGACACATTGATTGTGGTGGAAGATGGAGCCCATGAAGAAGTCAAGCTCTTTGAGTGTGGTGAGGGTCGGGTCCGTCTCCATACTCCCAATATGCTTGACTGGCGTTTCGTTGCCTGCCATTGTAGATGTGGATGTACAGCCCCTCTTGTGTATGTAAATTCAGGAGTGCAGCCTAGATCTGGTGACACTGCCCCAGCCTTGGAGCTGAAACCACTAATTCATTGAAAACTTGGCTTTCTCAGACAAGTGGTAATATTGACTCATTAGCATAATGCTGTAGAGTCTAAGACATGCTTCCACTTGCTTATCCCATTTCTTTTATTCCTGAGCTTGTTGCTGTGCTGGGAGCTGAGGCTTGTCCCTGCTCTGGAAAGTTTGTCATCTAATGGGGGACAGACACAGCCATGCGTTGTAGTCCAGGTTTGTTAGCACCGTGACAGGCACTCATCTGTGTTTCTGTGGGTTCCCAAGAGGAATTATGTCATTCGACCCAGGATAAAGGGCTCTGGAGAGTGCTTCCAAGACATATTGACTATAGGCAATTTCTATTGAATATTTCTTCTTTGTCAGGAGCTGCAGCATTGAACACTCTGCAGGTACTATGGTGTTGAATCCTCCAGTATCCATCACCCCATCTGGCAGATGACCGTTTGAGTGGAGGGGCTCAGGCAATATCCCAGATTTTTTGACTTCGAGTGTGGTGCTCCTCTCAGGATACTCCTCTGCCTTTTATCGGCAGGGGTGCCCCGCAGAGCCAGAACTATGAGCCAGACAGAACCATCTCCTTCCCTGTTCCCATGGAAACAGCAAAATTGTCCCCTGGCTGGGGCCAACTGGCAACTGCCATACCGAGACATGCAATAATAACAATAACATACATTTTCCAAACCAGGGTGCCAAATGCGTAAATCATGAATATGCCAATTTGACCTGCTGCTTCCAAAACTTGCACATCCCTCCTAAGACAGTGGTGGAATTAAGGCCCCTGAGTATTTAATCTCGCCTAGACACCTCACAAGAGGGAAGTGAATTTTGCACCGTGAACCCAGTTCAGCTCTCAAAACTGGAGATGGAGTGCTTTTGCACACTGGCTCCCCATCACAACATCTGTGGACAATTAAGCCCCAGCAAAGAGTTTACCTCTCAGTGTGCAGGGTGTCTTCTGGTGCTAATGCGGGGTTTAAGAATCTCAGCCCTGTGCTGTAAATCTCTCAGCCTCAGACAAGCACTGAATGCAAATATGTTGTCAGGGGACTGGGAGAGGGTGAGGGGACAGCTAGGCTGAATGGTTAAGGCCAGGCTTAGTGGATCAGGCAGCAGAGAGTGTGTGCTAGGAGAAGGAGACAGGACGAGTGGTAGGGTTGGTGACTCACCTGGGGGATGACTCGGGACAAGGTGGCAGGGGAGAAACTTTATAACCACGGGGTTTGGGACTGGAAGTGAGGAGAGCATTTCTGCATGTGTGGAGGAGGGGATAGGTGTGCAGGGCCCCGCCAGGGTTCCTTAGTGTGAGGTAAGGAGCCTAGGACTCTAGAAATTGTGGACAAACCCTGAGGAGATGTGCATGGTTTTTGGGAAATATGATAGCTTCCCATGAATCTCAAATATTAGGAACCGCTGATGTATAGGAATTAATAAATAACTTTTTTTTTTTTTGTAAATTGCTTTATATGTATTTACTCTTTAATCCTTACAATAGCCTCACAGGGGAGGTGCCACAATCAGCCCCATATCATCATTTGGGAGACTGAGGCCCAGAGCCATCAACCCTTTGTGCAGTGTCACAGGGCTCGCCAGTAAGGGGCAGGGAATAGAGGTGGCCTGAGCGTTCACCCACCACGTGGTTGTGCTTTGTGGGGAGGATGTGAATTCCAGCGAACTGTCTAGAGCATAAGTCTCAGCCCTGGTGTGTATCAGAACCCTCAGTGAAACCCGATGTGGCCGTCATAAGAGCAATCGTTTTTTCCAGCAGCTGCTAGTGTCTGGTTCCATGCAGAGTACCAGTAGTCTGCTCATGGCAGTAGGAAATGAGGGTGGGGGTGGGGTTGTGCTTCTGCTGTAACCATTATCACCATATTTTTGGTGGGGAATCTGGTGCTCAGAGAGGTTATATAAGTTGCCCACAGTCGCACAGCTTACAGGTGGCAGAGCCAGGGCTCCCGCCTGCAGCCTGACTCCACATCTGCAGGTCTGACCCCAGGTCTGCAGGCCTTTTGCTTTGCTGGACCCAGGCTCCAGGAGGACTGTGGGCCCAGGGTACAAGCCAGGCACAGCCTGCTTCATGGGTACATTGACCAAAGCATAGAAACAAAGCAGAAATGTGAGGTCAGGGCCAGACATGAGGCTGAGGCCCAGGGTCTCAGGCTGGAACTTCCCTAATTGGCGTCTTCCTTCTTGGGGTCCAGATTGACCTCAGTGTGGGAGGCAGGAGGAGCCCACAGGAAGGAAGCTTCTGCTCTGTGGAAAGAGGTAGACCCTGGACCCAGGGGTCCTAATGGTCAGGGTGTGACCTTGCCAGTGGGGCCACTGAGCACCCTGACCATGAGCTACTTAGAGTTTCGTTTCACTCTGTGTGGGGGTGGGGTGGGGAGTGCTGGTTTCTTATTGCCTCTTTCAAATTTCTCTTTTTCATTTTTTCCTTCCTTGATGGAAGAAGCATAAGATGGGAAATGTGGGTGCTCACTTCATCCCACACCCCCGGGTCCTCCTACCCACCAGTAATTTAAGGGCAGCTCACTTTTCTAATTGGGCATGGAGCAGTGTGGCATTTTGCGGTCATGTTATGTCTGTCGTGGGACACCTGCAGTTCTGAAGCTCCTGTGACAAATTCCACTGTTTCCCAGGTTTGATATTTCAGTCATTTCAGATTTATGCAGCTTAAGCAAGGGGCACATTCTATAGTTAGACTGGAATGGTGACGTTTGCAGGGAGACCAAGGGAAACCCCAGCATACCCAGAACCCTGATGCACAAGCACAGAGAAGCTCCATCCAGCCTGTGGGTTTTCTGTTTCCACCTGCGACTTTTTTTATGCAGTGGAGTCTCACTCCCTCTGTCATCCTGGCTGGAGTACAGTGGTGTCATCTCCACACACTGCAACCTCTGCCTCCTGGGTTCAAGCGATTCTCCTGTCTCAGCCTCCTGAGCAGCTGGGACTACAGGTGCGCACCACCATGCCCAGCTAATGTTTGTATTTTTAGTAGAGACGAGGTTTCACCATGTTGGCCAGGCTGGTCTCAAACTCCTGACTTCAATTGATCTGCCTGCCTTGGCCTCCCAAAGTGCTGGGATCACAGGCATAAGCCACTGCGCCTGGTCCTCACTGTTTTTTTTAAGTTGCCCGTGGCAGGCCTGGCTAGAGATTTGACCTCTTGTCTCCAGAGCCTCAGGGGTCCACTGTCAAACATAGGTTTCCAAACAAACCCAAGGGAAGAATTTAACCCAAAAATATGTCCCATTCATTTGGAAGCCATGAGCAAAAACAACAGGCACGACATGGTGGCTCACGCCTGTGATCCTAGCAGTTTGGGAGGCTGAGGCAGGAGGATCTCTTGAGTCCCAGAGTTCGGGGCTGCAGTGAGCTATGATGATGACACAGCCTTCCAGCCTTGGTGACAGAATGAGACTCTGTCTCTAAAAAAACCAACAAAGCAACAATAACAAACATGGACTCACTTTTTAAAAAGAAACTTGTTGAAAAATGCCAAGCAAGTCTAGATTTTAAGTTTAAAGTAGCAGTTTCATAGATTTCTCTATTGGCCCAGACTTTCAAATGGCAGAAACGGCAGGTAAGCAGCAAACAAAAATAACATCTTGATTTCTGTTGGAAACTTAGTTCCTACAAGAGCATTTCACTTCTACGTACAGCTCCCGTTTATCCTCAGAGGTCCTTCCTGAGATAGGGCGGAAACAATCTTGCTTTCCACTGCGGAAGACTGGGATGTAAAGGAGTTAAGTGGCTACTCTCAGACACAACAGTATTAGCAGAATTCAGAACAGGAAGTAAGTGTGTGGACTTGTGGGCCACTATGTTATGCTAGATGAATTTGGGTGGTCAGGGTAAAGGAAAATCTTATTCTTCAAAACATTTGAAAAAACTGCGCAGGTTTCTTTATTTGTAAGAGGAAATAAACTCCTAACAATTTGGGGGAAACTTGGCTTGCTAGGAACCCCATAATTCCCCCCTCCTAGCTGTGGGGGTACTGGTGGGAGTCCCTTGCTCACATGGCAGCTTGGCAGCCTTGTTGCATTCATTCCAGTCTCTTGCCTGCTCCTGGAGAAATCGGTTTTCTTTTTGGCTTTTGCATGTTCTGCGAGTTAGGGAAGGTTGGAGAGTGTATGTTAGTCATGCATTTTTCTGTAGGTAAATGAAAGCCTCATTTAGAGTGCCTTAAACAAAATGATTTATTGTCTTCACATAGCAAGAAGGTTTGCAGCCGTTGCCTGCTGATATTATATGTTTTAGTGGTTTGACAGTATCAGGCCTAGCATCTCAGTTTTTTAAAATTTTTAATTTTTTTCTCATTGTTGCAAGATGGCTGCTGCAGCACCAGCAATCACATTCACATTCACTTTCAAGGCAGGAAGAGAAGCGGAAGAAGAGTAGCTCCATGCAAATACCCTTTTTTATCAAGGAAATAAAAACCTTCCCAGAATCCCCTAGCAGGCTTCCATTTATGTTCATAAGTCAGAACTGTGTCACATGGCCATACCTGCTATAAAGCAGGCAAGGATAGTATTTAGGTTTTTTGTCTGTTTATTTGTTTCTGGACAGGGTCTTGCTCTGTTGTCCTGGCTGGAGTGCAGTGGTGTGATGTATAAGATCATAGCTCACTGTGATCTTGACAGCGATCCTCCCACCTCAGCCTCCCAAGCTGGGATCACAGGCGTGCACCACGATGCCTGGCTAATTTTTATATTTATTGTAGTGACAGTGCTTCACCATGTTACTTAGGCTGGTCTTGAACTTCTGAACTCAAATAATCCACCTGCCCCAGCCTCCCAAAGCTCTGAGATTACAGGTGTGGCTCTTACCCGACCAGGCCCCAGTATTTAGTTATTTTCATCTCCAGGGAAGAGGAGGGTTGGGAATAGATGTTGGGTTAATATCCAGTGTTGTCTGCCCCAAGGGGCTTGTAGGAAACTGGCATGAGAAACAAAATTTATCATCTGGTCAAAATTCACTCATTTGCTCAATACACACAATGTACCCATTACCCAGATGAAATATTGGAGGCAGAGGGAGGAGCCCAGAATGGGCCTAGTGGTGGGATGGGGAGAGGAAATATCCTTAACACCAGTGCCCAGCTATGAGGTGTTCCACACTTTTTCCTCCCAGGTCCCAGTTTTAGTTCTGGTTGTTAATAGTGCTGGAAGGCACTGAGGAGAGTCCGCGAAGCTGGTCTCTGAAGGAGTGGGCGGAGGCCTGCTGAGCAGAGGTGGAGTGGCCGGCTTCCCTCTTGGCCTGGCTGCCCCATCCCCGCTGTCACCACTGAGGTTCCTCCTGGGCCGCTTCTCCCTTGCTCTGGGAGGAGCCTCTGTTGCTGTCTGGCTTGCTCTGCTGCATTGTTGTTCTTGCCTCTGACTCCCAGCCTCCCCAGACCTTCTGACCTGTCCCTTCCTATCCCAGGTCCCCCGAATCCACTGGGACCTGTCCACGGAGCGGGTCCTCTTGATGGAGTTTGTGGACGGTGGGCAGGTCAATGACAGAGACTACATGGAGAGGAACAAGATCGACGTCAATGAGGTGAGGTCAAGAGCTCAGGGCTGCTGGGCCAGGGAACGTGGGCTTGGTTGAGGCTGCTCAGGAAGTGCCTGTGTGTCCAGGTGACGCCTCCGAGTCTGGCTCCACTCTCTTTAATGGGGCCTGTGGTCTGAAAAATGATAAACTTTGAGCAAGAAAGATTCTTCCAGGTCATTTAGGCCAACCCTGTGCTCACAGCAATGTGCGGGGCCCCTTCTGCCTTTACCTGCTTTTCCTTTGTAGCATCTGAGCCCCACAAAGCTAAGCGGCCACAGAGAACAATGATGCAAAATCAGTGGGACTTAATCCTTCTGGCTCTGTGGGGCCTGTCCATTGTCTCTTCCCTCTTCCTGCCCACCGCCCACCCCCGCACTTCCCAGATCTCAAGGGATCAGGCAAAAAGGGGACAGCAGCAGCCAACTGCGTCAGCCTCCTAGAGCAGGAAAAAAGAGGTGGCCTTTGGGTGTCCCCCCCCTCATCCCCCTTGTCCCAGGGAACACTGGCCAGTGGGTAGGACCTGTCCCCTATTTTCTGCTGCTTGGTTGCCACAGGGTCCCGCAGGAAGGGGTGGAGTTGTACTTTTTCAGTGACATTCATAATTTTATTTTTATGTTTTTAGAGACAGGGTGTTACGTGCAGTGCCGCAGTCACAGCTCAGCGTAATCTGGAACTCCTGGGCTCCAGCATTCCTCCCACTTTGGCCTCCCAATGTGCTGGCATTACTGGTGGGAGCCACGTGGCCAGGCTCAACGTTTATCATTTTAATAGTGTCTGCTGTATGCTAGGTATGGGGGCTCTTGGGGCACCAGACCCAATCCCCAGAGCTTAGCATTAGAGTCAGACACATAGGAATCCTTCCTGCTATATGTCAAGGCAGTGAGAGGGTGTGAGCAGAACCACAGGGAGGGTGAGGAGGAGGCACTGAGGCCTGCCACAGATTGGCGTCCCCAGCAAGATGAGTCGGGGAGTGGCTTTGCAAGAAGGGAAATGGGTTAAGTTTGGCAGGGCTTCGGCAGGCCTCCTTGGGGTGTGTGGGGAAATAAGTGACCTTGAGGCACTGTGGAGTCACTGCAGGGTTTTGAGGAGTGCAATGACATGTTCTGCACCCTGGGGTGGGTGGAAGGAAGGAAGGGAGGGAAGAAGGAAGAAGGAAGGAAGGAAGAAGGAAGGAAGAAGGAAGGAAGGAAGGAAGGAAGGAAGGAAGAAAGGAAGGAGGGAAGGAAAGGGGCCACGCCCAGTGGAGGTGAATATTCTTTTCTGTTCCACTCCCATGTCCACAGGCAGTGCATGAAAATGAGCGTGAGCATGTGGTCCCAGTAGGGAGATGGCCCACGGAGAAAGCTGTATCTTGGCTCAGCAGATGAGGCCGGGGGGATGGCAGGGGAGTGTGGTGGTCACACAGGCCCCCTGGTGCCATGTGGCCTCTATAAATGGGGTCAGTACCTGCCTCCCAGAGGGGTCGTGAGGACTGTGTGAGTTGGGGTGCACGCAGTGCTGAGCACAGTGCCTGGTGTGCGGCTAGCATTCCAGAAGAGTAGCTGGGTGGTGGTTGTTGATTTCCTTATATCATCTGTGGGCCTGTTCTTTCTTTCTCCTTTTACCATTAGCATTTATTGCATGCCTAACTCCCTGTGCCATGCCCTTTTCTCCGTAATAAACTTATGAGAGTGGTCTTACCATCTCCATTTTGCAAAGAATCAGAGACTCAGAGAGAAGATCACACAGCTTAGAAGAGGTGGGATTGAAACCCAGGTCTCCCTGATTCCAGTCCTCCTGTTAAGGCCACAAAGGAGGAGCTGCATCAGAGTGTGCAGAGCTGCTGCCAGGAGCATGGTGGGAACGTTTCGCTGTGGCTGGCCCGGGCCTTCCAGGAAAGCTACTGTCCCCTGACTTAGGGAACAGTGCTGCAGGAACCCCCTCGGGGGCCTTGAGGTGTGTGTGGGGTTTGGGGAGGCTGCACCGAAATGGGAAAACCTATTGGGTTTTCCTGGAAGAATTCTGTTGCTTGGAGGGAAAGGGATGAGAAAAAGAAGAATTCATCCTTCTATTTTGCAGATGGGTGAAAGCTCTGAGAGAGAGCAAATGTCGTTCCTGAAGTCACTTGGCCAGTAACACAAGTAGGGGCTTCCGACTCTGCTGCCTTCACTAGTGGCATCTAGGGTGGAACGTGGGAGGTGTTCAAGCAGAATACAAAGTCTTTGGTTCTAGTGGTGAAGGGATTGGATGGGATGGGAGGCCACCAATAGCTTTTCCTGGACACCCTTACTGGGGAACAGGGTCTGTCACCTGCTGATGAGGAAATACCCCAGAGGCCTCACTCCCGCCAGGTTACTGGCCTTTACTACTAGCTGTGGAGGCATTTTCATTCCAGCAGCACCTTCAAGTCCATGAATCTCTTTGGATGCAGTGAGCCCAGAGAGAGCTGCAGTGATGTTTAATCAGAGGCAATGTTGATTTTCCAAACAAGTGCAAACACAGAAAGGTGCGCTGTGGTGTAGCTGCTTGCTTATATGGCTGAGCACAGTGCCTGGCTGGAGGGGGCAGCCGGGCGGGAGCCGGGCAGTAAGAGTTGGGCAGCGCGTGCCCTCTGAGGCCTGGTCTCATCTATTCCTTCCTCCCCTCTTTTTTGATACCTTGTACATAAATCCAGTGGTCTGTACAGAGCGGATCCTTGGTAGACATCCTTAAATTAGTGGTTATTAGGAAAAAAAACCAGCTTCATGCCCTGGATTGGTCTCTACCAGCCAGGCCTAGGGGAGAGTGTTGGTTGTTTCCTTGTGGACATGCAGAAGGGGGCAAGCTGATATCAGAGTTATTTGGGGAAAAACAATAACTAATAATAATTATAAGCAACTAATATGTGCCAGGCATATGACACATACAATCTCTACTCATTACAGCTCTCCTATGCAGTATATATTATTGACCCCATTTACAGATGAGAAAGCAAATGCTCAGAGAGGTTAAACAACTTACCCCATATCACACAGCTAGCAGGGTAGAACCAGGGTTTGAACTCAGGTCTGCATGTCTCCAAAGTCCTTGCCCCTCTACCTTCTCCATTTCCCTGCCAGGAATCTATAGGTTGGTGCAAAGGTAATTGTGTGGTTTGTTTTTTATTTCGGGCCATTGCAAAAACCGCAATTATCTTTGCACCAACCCAATACCTTGGGCTGCTGGAACCTGGAGCTGCTTGGTAACTACTCAGAGGCGTTGGGGCCCCAGCTGAGAAGCATTGCCCAGCACCCCAGGCAGTGTCTGAATGTAACACCTCTCTCTCTGGCTTACATCAAGGATCACTTCATAGAAACATTTTTCTCTTTTTATTGTACCTAACTCTAAGTAAGTGATTTTGTGAGGACTGTGTGAATTAATGCACAAACAGTGCTTTGCACAGAGCCTGGCAGGTGGTAAGTGTGTGCCCCAAAATGATAGTGAGGTGAACGGAGTTGTTAAAATGACAGTGAGGTGGACGGAGGTGTTAAAATGACAGTGAGGTGAACGGAGGTGTTAAAATGACAGTGAGGTGGACGGAGGTGTTAAAATGACAGTGAGGTGGATGGAGGTGTTAAAATGACAGTGAGGTGGACGGAGGTGTTAAAATGACAGTGAGGTGGACGGAGGTGTCACAATGATTGTGAGGTGGACGGAGGTGTTAAAATGATAGTGAGGTGGACGGAGGTGTCACAATGATAGTGACGTGAACGGAGGTGTTAAAATGATAGTGAGGTGGACGGAGGTGTCACAATGATTGTGAGGTGAATGGAGTTGTTAAAATGATAGGTGGACAGAGGTGTCACAATGATAGTGAGTGGACGGAGGTGTTAAAATGATAGGTGGACGGAGATGTTAAAATGACGGTGAGGTGGACGGAGCTGTTAAAATGATTGTGAGGTAGACGGAGGTGTTAAAATGACGATGAGGTGAACGGAGCTGTTAAATGATTGTGAGGTAGACGGAGGTGTTAAAATGACGATGAGGTGGACGGAGCTGTTAAAATGATTGTGAGGTGAATGGAGTTGTCATCGGGCTGTTTTTTTCTTTTCTACTTCCCCAACTTTTTTTTTTTATTCATTAATGTTTCCTAATGGCCTGGCTCTATGTTCCAGGAGCTTTCTGCATTATGAGTTTATGAAGGAGGTCTTATTGTCTCAGAATTGCAGATGAAGAATCAGAGAAGAGGAGAGGGAAGATAACTTACCTGAGGTCACACATTTTAATTGTATACCGCAGTAAAATTTCCATGTGGATATAATATAGAATCAGTGTCCGGATAAAGTTGCAAGTCATTTCTAGCCCCCTGGCAAGCTCCCTCATGTCCCTTCCCAGTCAGTACCCTCCAAGAGCTAATGCTCTTCTCATTTCTGCCCCCATAGATGACTTGCTCCCATGATTGAACATCACATAAATTGAATTACACAGTTTTGGGATCTGATGTCTTTGTCTTCAATGTGGGGCTCTTCTGGAATCTGTTTTTTTTTCATTGGTCTATCCTTGTCATGCCACATTGTGTTAATTTCTTAATCCCCAGTCCCTTTTAGGTTTCGTATGACTCGGAAGCTCTTTGGCAGTCTGAGATGACGTCATTACTTCCTCAGAAACCCCTGCAGTGGGCTAAGGGCTACTGTGGTGCTCTAAGTACTGTCACTTAGCATCAGGGCTGTTGGGAATAGATTAGGGACACGCCATACTCTGAATAATCTATCATGTCTCTTACCAACCAACATCAAAGCCGTGGCCTTGTAGAAGACTACGGGGCACCGTGTGTGTGTGTGTGTGTGTGTGTGTGTGTGTGTGTGTGTGTGTGTGTAAAGACTTCACATTCCTGAAAGTTTCAGATAGACTCCTGAGGTTCTAAAGTCTCCCCAGGACTGTGGTACTCAGCGAGCCATTCCTGGAGTGACTCCCTCCTGAGGGCAGCCTGGCTGTGAGCATTACTTGGGGATGGAGGTACAAGGGATAGATCGAAGTGACAGGGGGCAAAAGTCTTACTCTAAATCCTA